TGGCGTGGCTCAGTTGGTTAAGCGTCTGCCTTCTGCTCAGGTCATGATCCTGGAATCCTGGAATCCTGGGATCGAGCCCCACATAGGGCTCCCTCCTTGACAGGGAATCTGCTTCTCCCTCTGCCCCTCCTCTCTCTCTCTCAAATAAATAAATAAAATCTTTTAAAAAAAAGGCAAGACAAGACAGACTAAAAACCAGTAGCTGCTATCACTAATCACCAAAAACTGGAAAAAACCTAAATGTCCCTCACTGGTAAATGGGTAAACAATCTGACATTTATCTACACAGTGGATCACTACAGAGCAGTAAAAAGGAGTGAACTACAGATACACACAACAATGTGGAAGAATCTCAGATGTAAGATGCCAAGTGAAAGAAGCCAGATTTAAACGGCCATACAGAGATCCCTAGTGGCTCAGCGGTTTAGCACCTGCCTTTGGCCCAGGGTGTGATCCTGGAGTCCCAGGATCGGGTCCTGCATTGGGCTCCCTGAGTGGAGCCAGCTTCTCCCTCTGCCTGTGTCTCTGCCTCTCTCTCTCTCTCTCTCTCTCTCTCTGGGTCTTTCATGAATAAATAAATAAATAAAATCTTTAAAAAAATAAAAGGCCATACATATTGTGCAGTTCCATTTATAGGACATTCTTGAAAAGCTAAAACTGTAGGGATGGAGCACAGATTGGTGGTTGGGTGGGGTGGAGGCTGGGGGAGGGGTTAACCATGAAAAGATATGAGGCCATTTGGGGGAGGATGACAGAATTGCTCCATATCTTCAATACAGTGGCAGTTCTCAGACTATGTACATGTGTCAAAATTCACAATAGTGTACACTGAAAAGGGTGAATTTTGCTATAGGTAAATCACACTTTAATAGCCAATAGCTCTATATGCTGGTATACGAACAGACTGACCCCAGAAGGACAGGAGACTTTTCATTACATGTTCTTTGGTTCTGTCTTAAACGTGTCTGTGTATTAACTCTCCCAAAAAAACGAGAGACATATTTACAAAACAAATCCGTAACGAGTCCAGACAACTGCCAAGTTTAAAAGCATGTGCACCACAGTACACAAGACACACGAGCAAACCACTACACTAGGAAGTCCAGGGAAAAGGAGTGAAAAGTTGAGACTCTGGGTAAACATAGCAGAATCAACCTGCTTCTACAAATCTCACTAACATGATGACAGGACAGCCAAGGGGAAACAAAAGACCACCACCACAGGACGAATAATTAACATGGCAGGAGACTGCAAAGACGAAAGAGGGCACCAAAATAAAAAGCCAACAGAAAGTGGACAAGTGGTAACTGAGCAAGTAGAGAAACTAGACACCCTGTGTAGTGGTTCTAGAAAATGCCCATAAATTCTTTGATATTCCTTCAAGATGTAAAGGCTAATGATTCCCTTGCTTTTGAACGTGGGCTGGGCTTGGTGAGTCGCCTTTAATGAACAGAATGAAGTAGAAGTGATAATGCATGTCTTCAGAGACCTGGTCAAAGAAGGCACCACTGCCTCCTCTGTGCTCTCGCGTGGACCGCTCGCTCTGGGGGAAGTGGCTGCCATGCTGCAAGCGCACTCCAGCAGCAGTACAGAGGGGCCCGAGCCATGAGGAATTGATGCACCAACAGCCATGTAAGTGAGGCATCTCGGAAACAGATTTTCTAACCTCAGTCAGGCTCTCAGATAATGGCAGCCGCTGCCAACACCTTGACTACACCCTCATTGAGACCATGAGCCAGAACCACCCAGCTAAAACCCACTCCTGACGTCCAAGCCTCAGAAACCGTGAGACATAATAAATTTAAGCTGCTAAGTTTACAGTAAGTTTATTTTTTTACTTACCAATAAATAACTAATACACCCTTTATGGCAACAGGTTAAAAAGAAGCTGACAAAGAACAAATGGATTTGTTCCAGAGAACCCAGGAAGGTTTAGTACAAACAGACCAATGGAACAGAATAAATACTTCCACTTATAGGAATCGGAGAGATAATAGAGGTGGCGATATAAATAAGTGGGTAAAGTATTAACTATTCACTAAATAGTATCTGGACAACTACTATCCATTTGGGGGGGTAGCCTACCTTATACCATTCACAAAATTAATTCCAGATGAGGTATATACTAAGTTGTTGTATATACAACAAATGTCTACATAGTATCTTGTATATAAATGTTCACAAAAGTATTCACAATAGCCAAAAAGTGGAACCAAACCAAATATCCACCAACTGATGAATGGATAAGTAAAATGTATATTCGTACAATATGATATGACCCAGCCATAAAAAGGAATGAGGTACTGACACCTGCTACAACATAGACAAACCCTGAAAACATGATGTTGAGCAAAGGAAGTTAATCACAAAATATCATGTATTATGTGATTCCATTTATATGAAATGTCCAGAATAAGCAGATCCATACAGACCAAGAGTAGTTTAGTGCTTAAGGGGTTGGTGGGTAGGGGGAAGGGGCAGTGATCACTAATGGGCATGGAGCTGCTTTCTGAAGTCATGAAAATGTTTCTAAAATTGATTGTGGTAATAGATGTACAACTCTATGAATATACTAAAAACGACTGAGCTATGCAGGGTTTTTTTTAAGATTTTATTTTTCTAAGTAATCTCTACACCCAACATGGGGCTCAAACTCACTTCCCTGAGATCAAGAGTCACATGCTCCACAGACTGAGCCAGCCCAGTGCCCTGAGCTAGACACTCCAAATGGGGAAACTGTATGGTATGTGAATTATACCTCAAAACTGTTGTATAAGAAATAATGAAAGACTGGGGCACCTGGCTGTCTTAGTTGCTTAAGCGGCTGACTCTTGATTTTGGTTCTAGTCATGATCTCAGGGTTGTGAATCAAGCCCTGTGTTGGGCTCCATGCTGGGCATGGAGCCTGCCTAAGATTCTCTCTCCTTCTGCCCTTCTCCCTGCCTCTCTCTCTTCCCTTCACTAAAAAAATAAAAATAAATAGATCAATTCCACATGGATTAAAGAAAAACTAAAAACAAATCCATAAAAGCATGAGAAGTTCTTTAAGCAGACACAAAATGCAAAAACCATAAAGCAAAAAAGTGATGAATCTGGCAAAATCAAACTCTTGAACCTCCTCCATGCAAGTGCAGACTGGTGAAGGTGTCAGTGTGAGAATGAAGGCCTGACAACTGGCTGGGGCACAGGTACCAGCCGGCTGTTTCAGCCTAATGCCTGCCTTCCAAAGAGTTACACATGGATGAGCAACGCAGCCAAACAGCTGAGCAGGCACAAGACAAACCAAGAATTACTGTCACACTGAATACTTCATTTGGGAATGAAAAACTTTTGTAGATACTTTCTATGGACTTTGAGTCCCTGTTTCTCCTGCAAAGTGTGGATCTTTGCCAAGATAACTTTTGTGAAAGTTACATTCCTGAGCCATGAGCTGAGGTGATCAGGTAGAAATGCTATTTAAAGGCATACTATTCCAGAAACTGGTGGATTGCAGCCAATTTTGAATCCCAACCCTTATTATATTTCCAAGGATTGAAATTGTCAAACTGCACATGAATCATGTTCTAAGGTACTACTGTGTGAATAGTGCTTTGCTACTGTGCACTGTCCCTTCTTTCTTTAAATTCTCAGGTATGGTTTTGGCTGGGAAGACCTTGTCATATTAACAAATGTAACAAAATGGTTAACTAACTTAAAAAAAAAAAACTTTCAAAGTCACCATAAAGTAAGTTAAAAGACAAGGAGATAATCAGGAGAAACATATACATCATGAAAACAGGCAAAGGTTTAGTATCTGGAGTATGTTAAAAAAATTCTTACAATTTGGGTGCTTGGGTGGCTCAGTCGATTAAGCATTTGCCTTCGACTCAGGTCATGATCTCAGGGTCCTGTGATAGAGCCCCACTGCCGGCTCCCTGCTCAGTGGGGAGTCTGCTTCTCCCTCTCCCTCTGTACTCAAGCTCTCTCTCTCCCCTTCTCTCTCAAATAAATTTAAAAAATCCTTTTTTTAAAAATTCCAACAAATCAATTTTTTTAAAAGGACAAATAGCCCAATTAAAAAAATGGAAAAAATATAAACAGACAATCCACAGAAACAAAAATATGAACATTAATCCAAATATAAAATAAAGATACTCAACCTCCCTGGTAATCAGAAAAATACAAATTAATGTAAGATGTCATTTTAGCAAAAATGTTAAAAGATCAGTAATAAAGAGTACTACTGATGATATGGTACACTCATAATGTTGGTCGGGACACAAATTAGCAAAACTTTTTTGAACTACCTATTATAAGTGTGCATAATACACTGAGAGCCTATAATTCTACTTTCTGGGTTTTTTGTTTGTTTGTTTGTTTGTTTTACTTTCTAGTATTTATATCAAGAAGTTGCCCGTAGAGACATCTGGGTGGCTCAGTGGTTGAGCGTCTGCCTTTGGCTCAGGGCGTGATCCTGGAGTCCTGGGATCGAGTCCCACATGGGGCTCCCTGCATGTTTCTACCTCTGCCTATGTCTCTGCCTCTCTTTCTCTGTCTCTCATGAATAAATGAATAAAATCTTAAAAAAAAAAAAGTCATCTGTGAACAAGGATATATGACTGTTCATGCTAGAATAAAACCATAAATAACCAAAATGTCCACTGATAAGGCAGGGGATGGACAAACTGGAGTCCATTCCTACAACAGAGTGCCATGCAGCAGGACAAAAGATCAAGGCATGTGAAAGTGAAAAGATTCCCTGAGAAACACTGTTGAATGAAAGAAGGGATAGGAAGTAGGAAAAGAGTATTTATATAGGGTGGCTGCAAAGGCCTAGCCCAGGTATCATTTGTACAAGATGAGGGATACACATAAGGGAGAAAAAGCATTCCAGACAGAGAGAACAGCAAGTGCAAAGGCCCTGTGCCTGAGCTCTCTGAAGGCAGCAAAGAAAGACCCCAGAGACAATTCCTGGCATTGGCAATTCTAGGGTTACTGACCAGATGTGACCTCCAACTCACCCCCTCACTGTGCTGCACCACACTGCTAATGTTATGCAGAGACTGGAAGTTTTGGGTGTTCACAGAGCCAAACTCCACAATCTCATCATCCACTTGCAGACCCTAAAGAGAGAAGAAAAACAGAAAATCAGGGTAGAGGTTAAATGTGCTTCTGGTGTTCTTTACCCTTTCATATCCAATTTAATGTCCAGGCCAACAGCTTGTTTTCTACTGGGAAGAGTGGTAGGCACAAAGCAAAGAGGCACAAAGGGGGCCAGATCTATCTGATGTCTGATAAAAGCTGGCAGTTGTACAGGCCTTAAAGAATGTGGGGAAAAGCCAAATGCTATCTTCTGGGGTCAGGGGCGAAAAGAGACAGGCTAATCTGGGCCTATTTTGTTCAGGGGTCAGAATTTAGGCAATTTTGCTCTACAAGTCTCCACATGCACAGACACCAGGCTGACCCAGGAATAGTGTGACCCATTCATCCTAAGAACACAGATCACAATTCATTCATTCCTTCAACTAGTATTTGTCATGGGCCTATTACAGCTCTGTGCTAGAGCTGTGGATAGAGAAGTAAAACAAAGCTCATATAGAACCATCCTGTAGGGATCCCTGGGTGGCGCAGCGGTTTGGCGCCTGCCTTTGGCCCAGGGCGCGATCCTGGAGACCCGGCATCGAATCCCACATCGGGCTTCCGGTGCATGGAGCCTGCTTCTCCCTCTGCCTGTGTCTGCCTCTCTCTCTCTCTCTGTGACTATCATAAATAATAAAAAAAAAACTTAAAAAAAAAAAAAAAGAACCATCCTGTAATCATTAAAGACAGTTGGCAGGACCTGGATTCAGGACCCAGTTCCATAGATGAGGAGCTATGTGTCCTGGCACCAGTTACTTCAGGTCTTAGAAGCTTTATTAGTGGGTAAAAGGTGTTAAGATTAGTGCCTACCCTATATCAACTACATATTCACATAAAAACTTGATCATGATGTTCAGAGTAACATTATTTATAATGGCCAAAAGACAGAAACCAAATGTTCATTAAGTGATGAATGGATAAAAACAATGTGATAGGGGATCCCTGGGTGGCTCAGCAGTTTGGTGCCTGCCTTTAGCCCAGGGTGTGATCCTGGAGACCTGGGATCGAGTCCACGTTGGGTTCTCTGCATGGAGCCTGCTTCTCCCTCTGCCTGTGTCTCTGCCTCTCTCTCTCTCTCTCTCTTGTGTCTCTCATGAATAAATAAAAAAATAAAAAAACAATGTGATATATCCACACAATGGAATATTACTCAGCCATAAAAAAGAAAGAAATAGAGATACATGTTCTGTTATACATGATACTAAGTGGAAAAAGCCAGTTATAAGGGTCATATAGGATTCTATTTATATGAAGCAGAAAGCAGACTGGTGGTTGCAAGGGGCTGGGGGAGATGGGTTGGGGGGGAGTGATGGCTAATCAGTAAAGTTTCTTTTTAGAATAATGAAAATGGGGAGGCCTGGAGGGCTCAGCGGTTGAGCGTATGCCTTTGGCCCAGGGTGTGATTCTGGGATCTGGGATTGAGGCCCATGTCAGGCTCCTTGCAGGAAGCCTGCTCTCCCTCAGCCTGTGTCTCTGCCTCTTTGTGTGTTTCTCATGAATAAATAAATAAATAAAATCTTTAAAAAAAGAAAAAGGGGTAGCCCAGGTGGCTCAGCGGTTTAGCGCCGCCTTCAGCCCAGGGTGTGATCCTAGAGACCCGGGATTGAGTCCCACGTCAGGTTCTCTGCATGGAGCCTGCTTTTCCCTCTGCCTGTGTCTCTGCCCCCCACCCCTCTCTCTCTCAGGTCTCTCATGAATAAATAAATAAAATCTTAAAAAAAAAAAAAAGAATAATGAAAATGTTCTAAAATTGCTTATAGTGATGCACAGCTCTGTGAAGACACTAAAAACCATGGAATTGCATGCTTCAAATGGGTAAATTTTATTGTGTGTGAACTGTATCTCAATAAAGCTGTTTAGAACTTAAAAACATGCCAGGTAAGGTCTAGAATTCATTTGGCAATACAGCCGGTGCAAAGCAAAGACGCAGTAAATGGCAGCTACAGTTGTCCTTCTCCTGTCTACTACTCAGTGCCTGGCTAAAATAAGTCAAGAAGAGATCTTTTCCCCCTGTCGGATATTTATCACCTTCTTCCTTGGGTCTCAGGCCTCTCCCTGACCAGGTTAGTGGGCAGCAGGGGCTGACTCCTCTCTAAAACCTGGCCCCAGCACAGGGCTGGGAAGCCCAGGGCTCAGTCAGTATTTGCTAAATAAGTGGGTATGGTCAAGCTGCAGCATGGACAGACACTGGGTCTGTCTATCCACGGTCCTGCCCCACCCACCCCACCCCAAGGCTACCAGACCCATAGCACCCTCCAGGTGTGGATTTAGGTGGTGGAGTTCTGGCTTACCGCAATACTGGCAGGGGAGCCAGGACTGATGCTGTTCACTTTGGCGAAGGCCTGAGGGGGGCTGCGGCCCTCACTCTGGCCCAAGTTGCGGCCCATGGCCTCTTCATGGGCCTCGGCCATGTCCCGAGCCTGCTTCTCCTTGTCTCGAGCATGCAGCTGGTGTAGGGCCTCTTCCACCTGCTTCATGACTGCCTTGTGATCATTCTGTAAGCCTGGGAGAATGCCACATTTGGGAACAAGGAAGCCAGCTGAAGACACAGGACTCCCAAATTCAGGACTCCCACATTCGATCGCACTGGACTAGAGGCTGAGGACAAACCTGTGGCCGAGACGGGGGTCACGGTCACGAAGCTCAAAGTCTAGTTAGGGAAAGAGGTCAGGAACAAGTAATTACTAACATCTGATTACTGTTGCTGAGGGCTAGACAGCCAGGACAGGACCTTGCTAGTCTAGGAGACCAGGAAAGACTTCCCAAAGGCAACATTGTTTCAACTGAGACTTGAAAAGGTGAGCAGAAGGCCACCTGGGTGGTTCAGTGGTTGAGTGTCCGCCTTCAGCTCGGGTGGTGATCCCGGGGTTCCTGGGATCAAGTCCTGCATCAGGCTCCCCATAGGGAGCCTGCTTCTCCCTCTGCCTCTCTCTGTGTGTCTCTCATGAATAAATAAAATCTTGAAAGAAATAAGGGAGGGAGGGAGGGAGGGAGGGAGGGAGGGAGGGAGGGAAGGGGAGGGGAGGGGAGGGGAGGGAAGAAGGAAGGAAAAGGTAAACGGAAGCAAGAAATTGCTGCGGTGAATCCACAGCCACCACCTCAGATGCATACAAGGGGCAAGTGTGGTGGCCATGCAAATCAGTGAAGTGAGCTGCGTGTAAGAAGGACTTCACATTTTCTAACAGCCCCACAAGGAAAAATGATGCCTAAATCCACTAACACATGGCAGGTGATGTTTGGTCTGGAAGAACAGGAGAAGAGCTGGAAATTAGGAATTTGGGGGTAAAATTCTCTCACTTTGTTTCAGTTCTGATAGCTACTTCAAAATGTAGCAAACTGGGGCCCCTGGCTGGCTCAGTAGGAAGAGCATGCGAGTCTTAATCTCTGGGATTGTGAGTTCAAGCCCCATGATGGGTGTAGGGATTACTAAAAAAAAAAAAAGTCGAGAATCACACCAGTCCAGTAAGTTATTGCTGCAGGCCAGTCTAGCACAGTGGCTGGCATTTTGACAACTTTCAAAACCTAAAAACAATTTTCTTTATTGCTGTGGATCCCACACCTCTATTCAAGCTAGGTCACTCACAAGCTTCATTTTTGATGAGTTTCAGAGGCCAGAGCTGTCAACTGACACTACCTGCCAATCCATGTCCAATGTTTGTGGGGCACAGACTTTCGGACTTTCCAGATGCCCTGACTGTGGGCATGCACAGCTACCTGACCTGGTTCCTCTGCCCCTATCATCTTGGAGCAAAGGTGAAGCCCTCAGATATAATGGGACTCTGGTACTCAACCCACAGGAGCAGATGCAAGAAAAGAACCCAGATCTGGGCCCATGGTTGGCAGAGCACGCTGACTCCTGATCTTGAGGTTGTTAAGTTCAGGCCCCACATTGTATATAGAGATTACTTTAAACAAACAAACAAACAAACAAAACCCCCAAACTTGAATAGGTAGAGACATCTGACTGGGCAGGAAGACTTAAAATGGTGTCGATGTATAATATATAGTCACTCTTTGACTAGAAAAGTTCCTCTGGATAGTAAGCTCCATGAGAACCCTCAGAACCTTCCACAATGCCTGGCACACAGGAAGCACCCAACACACAGCTGACAGTGATAGGATGAATGACTTTACTTTCAATATACTGCAATTCTAACCAAAATTTTAAAAAAAATTTATTTTCCTAAACAAAATGTTTCCAAAGCCTATTTCAAAAAACGAACTTGCAACTGTAACAAATGCAGTCTACTAATGTAAGATATTAATAATAAGGAAAAGCTGGGTCCAGACTATGTGGGACCTCTCTGTATTATTTTTCCAATTTTTCTGTAAACCTAAAACTGTTCTAAAAAATAGAATCCATTTTTAAAAATACAAGAGAGGTGCCTGGTTGGCTCAGTCAGCAGAGTGTGCAACTCTTGATCTCGGGCTCATGAGTTCACTTAAAAAAAAAACAAAAAGGGATCCCTGGGTGGCGCAGCGGTTTGGCGCCTGCCTTTGGCCCGGGGCGCGATTCTGGAGACCCGGGATCGAATCCCACGTCGGGCTCCCGGTGCATGGAGCCTGCTTCTCCCTCTGCCTGTGTCTCTGCCTCTCTCTCTCTCTGTGTGTGACTATCATAAATAAATAAAAATTAAAAAAAAAAAAAAAAAAGAATGTTAATGTTAACATTAACATTAACATTATAAAAAAAAAAAAAAAAAAAAAAAAACAAAAAGAAGATCAATAAGAATTGCTCAACCAGGTTCTTAAATATAATAAAGTCATTAAGATAGTGTGATATTGGGGCACCTGGCTGGCTTAGTTGGAAGAGCATGAGACTTGATCTCAGGGTTGTGAGTTCGAGCCCCATGTTGGGTGTATAGATTACTAAATAAACTTAAAAAAAAAAAAGTGTGATTAGCAAGGAGATGTATCAACAGAACAATGCAAAAAACTAAGAGACCTAAATATGTCTGAAATTTTCCTATGTAATACTGCTAGCATTTCAAATTAATGGAGAAAAAATAGGCTACTTAATAAATGGTGTTGGAACATCAGGGTAAACATCTGGAAGAAAATAAGCCAGTGCTCTCTCTCTCACACGTTACACTCTGCTTCTCAAATTTCCCCCAGAATCCTAAATCACAAAGAAAGCAGGCCACATCCCTGGGGAGTCTGAGGATTAAACCAAAAGCCCCCAAATTTCCCTCCAGTCTTGACATGGTTCTTCCCTACTCTGTATCTTCCACTTGTTTCAATACAAAAATGGTATGCTTCTTTTCCCAAAATTTTCAAGGAAAAGTGATGCTCTAAGATGTTGTTCTATGATTATATTGCAGCTTTGCGGAACATTTGGCACCTCAAGAGGTATCTCACTCCTGTGGTAACTACTTATGCCTCCAGAAGGAAGCTCGGCCTTATCAAAACATGCTGCACATGGAATCAAGATTCAAACACATAAAACAGAGGTCAATGAGGGAAAAATGTGCATGATAAATTCCCCTCTAATAAGACTTTGTGGTAGAGGCTGCCAGCTGCCCACCCATGGCAGAGGTGAATAAAGCCCCCAAACATGTTCTTGTGGTAGCCACCAGAACCTGTCAATGTTACTTTCCATGGCAAAGGGGGCTTTACAGATGTGGTTAAGTCCAGGGCACTGACTGGGGAGATCATCCTGGATTACCCAGGTAGGGGGCCAAATGCCATCACAAGGGTCTTTGTAAGTGAAAGCAGGAGTGAGAGAAAGAGGTGAGATGGTGGGACCAGAGGTTGGGAGGTACAGCTCCTGGCTTTGGAAATGGGAGGAACTACGAGCCACGGGACACAGGCACCTCCAGAAGCTGGGAAAGATAAAGAAATGGGCTCTTTATCAGAGCCTCCAGAGGGACACAGCCTTGCCAACACTTTGATCTTAGTCCAGTGATACTCATATGGATCTCTGATTATTATAAGGCAATAAATTTGTGACACTTGAAACCACTAGTCTAGGGTATTTGTTACAATAGGACCAGAAAACTAATATACTACCCAACTGCTACGTACAACTTATTCCTCAACTATAAACAAATAAATGATTTTATTTAGGATAGTGATATGACCACCATGGAGTACATACCCCAACATGTCTTGCAGGCAGAGGGGCCTAGGAAGTGAAAGCAGAAAGCAGTGCAACAAGGCGGGGCTGGGATCTACAGGAGAGTTCCTTAAAGGGAGAGTCCTGGGCAGCAAAGGACCTTCTCCCCTTCCCACCTTCGTCCTTCCCTTCCTTCCTGCTTGGTGCATGGACATGGTGACCCTAAAGTTGGAAAACATGTCCAAAGGATGGCACAGCCTGGGATCTGACGGCCAGCCCTGCTCTGCTTCCCTCCAAATGTCTATACTGAGGCACTGAAGGCTCCTGTGTGAGTGACCGCAGTCAAGGCACTATCCTTACCAGCTAGATGCATTTCCTAACACATAACTAGTTTGATCAGGATTGCAAGCAATTTTTTTTTAAGATTTTATTTATATACTCATGAGAGACACAGAAAGAGAGGCAGAGACATAGGCAGAGGGAGAAGCAGGCTCCTCACAGGGAGTCCGATGTGGGACTCGATCCCAGGATCACACCCTGAGCCAAAGGCAGACACTCAACCACTGAGCCACCCAGGAATTCCAAATTTTTGACTCCGGTTTCTATCATCACTTTGAAAAAGTTTCCACAGTGAAGTCAAGTCTTTAAAAACAAAATGAAAAATGAAACCATAAATTTAGAAGCCTAGAGGCCAACCCATTTTCTCACTCAGTCCCTGGATGCGGACAGTGAGCTAATCCCATCAGGGGAGAAGAGAAAGAAGCAGAGAATATGGAATAGTGAGATCATGCTTATTTGTGTGCCTTCAGCCATCCTTGCTGGAAGGCTGGGGATTGGCTGCACGCACACCACTCACAGACGATGTTGTGCCTGGCAGTTCGGACTTGGTACAGGTCCACGTCTGACCGAGGGTAGCCCTCGCAGTCCACCAGTGGCTCATTCATCCCCACGCCCTTTTGCTGGAGGGAAGAAACATGGTTAAGATTTCACAGGTATGAAGTCCTCAAGACATTTTTTCCCTTGCAGCCATCATAAAGGCGACAGGAATGAAAGCTGCCACATACTGATCAGACAGTACAGGCCACGTACTTTCCCCAAATGCTCCCACAACCACCCTCTGTGGTCAGGGGGACGACACACTATTTTTCTTTTTACTGACTTTTAATAACACAAGTAACACATCAATCTGTGCTCCTCTTTTTAAGTCAGACAGTGCAGATAAAACTAAAGACTCTTTTGAGCTTCATCCCCAAGGCCAGCCTCTTGGACTCCTCCAAACCCTCCTTCCAAAAGCAGCTGACACCTGGCTGGTGGCCTTCAAACCCAGAGGGGAGTGAAAGCCCCAAAGAGCATCCAGCTGTGGCAGGACTTTGGTTCTTCCTGAAAGTAAAAAGGGATCTAAAAGGGATTTCAAAGAGGTTTTCATCCCTCGAAGGGCATACTGTTATCAACTGCCATTGGGAGAAGGAATTGGGTGGCTAGGGGACAAGGAAGGCAGAGGGACTTCATTTTCTATTTTTTTGTAGTCTTTTTGAATTTTGATCATGACACGTATTCCCTATCTAAAATGACACATTTAACATTTAACATTTTAAAGTCTTTTCCTACATTAAGTCAGAGGATGGTGCACAATGGCAATGAAACTCGTCCTGTGATGGAGGGCAGAGGGTTTCCAGTCAGTTAGACTTTGATTTGAATCTCAGTCGTGCCGTGTACAATCCGGGTGCCCTTGGTTGAGATCTCCCCTCTCCAGAGGGAGATCCATGACACAGAGAAGATCATGTGACCAGGGGCAGAGGAGTTAGACCACCACAAGCCAGGGATGGCCAGTGACCACCAGAAAATAAGACAGAGGCACTGAACAGATTCTCCCTCAGATCCCCCAGGAGAAACCAACCCTGCCGACAGCTTAGATTTCAGACTTCTGGCCTTCACAACTGTGAGAGAATGAATTTCCATTACTCTGGTCACCCAGTTTGTAGTAATTTGTTATGGGGGCTCCAGGAAATTAATACATATAAAAGTAATAAATCATGGCTGAATTATTAGTCAGCATAGAGGAAAGCTGCCCAGGGAATATATGTACTGGGATGAGGGATCCCATTCACTTCTCTCCCTTTCTTTCTAGAAGCCACTGGGTTACACCTACCATTTCCTATTGAAGCCCATAGTTTACCTTAGGCTTCACTCTTAGTTTTATATTCTACAGGTTTGAACAAATGTATAATGACATGTACCCATCATTACAATCCTATATGGGATACCTACACTGCCCTACAAATCCTCTGTGCTCCATCTATTCATCCCTTCCATCACTTTGGATCCCTGCAACCACTGATCTTTTTAATGTCTCCACAGTTTTGCCCCTTCCAGATTCTGGTTGAAATCCTACAGATGCAGTCTTCTCAGACTGGCTTCTTTCAGTTACTTATAAGCATTTGGGGTTCCTCCAGGTCTTTTCATTGCTCACTAGCCCATTTATTTTTAGCAGTGAGTAATATAGTCTACTGTTTAGAGGTTCATTTTATTTACCTATCCACCTAGTTAAAGACATCTTTGTTGCTTCAAGTCTTGGCAATTGCGAAATCAGCTGCTGGAAACATCATGAGGATTTTTGCGTAGACATGTTTTAAACTCCTTTGGGTAAATACCATGGAGCACAACTGCTGGATGGTATGGTAAGAGAATGTTTAGCTTTGCAAGAAACTTTCATATTCCTACCAGCTCTGGATCAAGAGTTCCCCCACATCCTCAACAGCATCCGGAGTTGAACTGTGATGAATACTGGCCACTTAGACACATGTGTAGTAGTACCTCATGGCCGTTTTAATTGGCATTTCTCTGATGACACATGACATATGTCTTTTGAGATACACGTTTTAAATTCTGATAAATTTTATCTACTTTTTCTTTCATTGCTTGTGATTTTGGCATCACATCTAAGGAGGTTTTGCCTGACCCAAGATCACAAAAATTTACTCCTATGCTTTATTCTATAAGATTTATGGTTTTAGCTCCTCCCTCCTTTTTAAAAAAACAATCACAGAGGAGGGCTTCAGGCTTAAAAGCTTTCAGCCTATAACTGTAGCTAGTAAAAAGGAACAAACATATCACCTTGGTATGCATTTTTACCTTATGCTAAAGGGGGAAAAAATCCCTTTCTCATATGCTGTAAAGTTACAAAATTTTCATTTAAGACAAACATATTTAAGTAAAAAAGTGAATCAATATAAAGAAAAATACCAAGGGAATAGTAGTACAGGAGATATTATGGATATAGCATCCTGCTTGAGGTAAAAAGTAAAGTTTGGAAAATTGTTAGCATAATGCCTGAAAACACAAGTTCTGGATTCAACGGGCCTGAGATCTGAATCTCATTTTGTGACTCTAAGCAAGTGACTTCTCTTTTCTGAGCTGGGTAACATACAAACTTCACAAGGTGGTTGTGGATTTCATGATATAACATACACACAAACCAGCACCCTTCAGGCATAATAATCAGCACCCTGCAAAATGATACCCTGGTCTTTTGATGCTTGGATTTTACTCTCATCACCTAAAATGCATTGCATCCATTCACCCTATATAGGATGTATTTAATTTATTCTTCCTCTGCAAATTGATTTGTGGTTCTACACTAATTGGCATAAGAAAAACTACCAGTTTGGGGGCTAGACAGACCTGGGAATAGCCCCACCACAGCCACTTCTGGTTACATGACCCTAGACAAGGGTTTGCCTCACCCTGGGCCTCAGTTCCCTTACTTGTCACTCAAAGCTCGGTCTTTAGAGTAGTAGCATCAGCATCGCTGGGAATTTGCTAGAAATAGATCATCTGCACCTCCGCGCCCCGTCCTCATCAGAAACTGAATTTTAACAAGATCCCCAGGTGCTTGCCAAACATAATGAAAGTTTACGAAGTTCTGACGTAAAGTGAGTTAGCAAAGCACAGATCTTCTGGTACACATTCAACAAGCACCAACGATGGCGGTGATTATCACAATTTATTAGCTCTGTGGCCTGAGGCAGGTTGAAGTAACGCCTCTGTTTCCTCATCCCTAAAATGGGGGGAATGGTAGAACTCTCACTTCAAAAAGCTGCTGCGAGGGTTAAAGGAGCTAACCACGTAAAGCAATTAAAACAGCCCCCAAGCGCCCAACACACGGTAAGAGCTCCACGAACGCTTGCTATCCTAGGCCAGTCGTTCTCAGGCGCTATCGTTAGTTGCTTACCGCCTACTGCCGACAGAGGCCGCAGTTGCCGCGCTCTGGGCCTCCCAGGGAGCGAGAGCTCCACCGCTGAGCGCTCAAACCCAGGCCGCCCCGGCCTCCCCATTCTCCCAGGCTGCCCCCCACGCCCGCTCAGGAGCCCCGAGCCCCCACTCACACTCTCCAGTACGTCATAATTGGCTTTGATCTGCGCCTCGATCTCCTCCTTGCGCCGTATGAGCTCCTGGATGTCACTGACAGTCACCGCGCCGGCCTGCGGGGAGCCTTCGCCCTGCCTGGCTTCCCCCTCCGACATCCTGGACCTCGGCGCGGGATGCGGGACACCAGGCTCCCCGGCTTCCGGGATGCGGCCGCCGGAAGAGACTGCGGCTACGGCTCCGCCCGCGGGCCAAACTTCCTCGAGCATCAGCGAGCCTGACTTGGGGAGGGGCCTGCTGGGGGCGGGGCGCCCGGAAGCCACACCCCGCTGGGACAAGTGTTCTGGCGACTAGGGAAGACCAGTCTGGGGAGGGATGGGTTCCAGGTCTGTCACCAGCCAGAACAGGATGATCTCTCCCTCGGTGACTCATTTGCTTTCCACATTCATTCAGTAGACATGTATTGAGCGCCTACCATATGTTTGTGCCAAAGCGCTGTGCGAGGCGCTCCAGTTGAGCTCCTCAAATCTACCCAGCCCTTGAGAGATAACGAAACACATTCAGATTCCTTATCCCCCATTTTTAAAATATTTTATTATTTTTTCTTTTTTTAAAGATTTTATTTATTTATTCATAGAGACACAGAGAGAGAGGCAGAGACACAGGCCCAGAGGGAGAAGCAGGCTCCATGCAGGGAGCCCGATGTGGGACTCCATCCACGGTCTCCAGGATCACGCCCTGGGCTGCAGGCGGCGCTAAACCGCTGCACCACTGGGGCTGCCCGGTTTTATTTATTCATGAGAGACACACAGAGAGAGGCAGAGACACAGGCAGAGGGAGAAGTAGGCTCTCTGCGGAGAGCCCATGACCCCAGGGCCACACCCTGAGCCAAAGGCAGACGCTCAACCACTGAGCCATCCAGGTGCCCCCTAAGATTTTATTATTTTTAAGTAACCTCCAAACCCAACATGGGGCTGGAACACACAACCCCAGAGATCCAGAGTTGCATGCTTCACTGGCTGAGCCAGCCAGATGCTCCCCTTATCCCCCATTTTACAGACCCTACAAGCTCAGGTTCAAGTCTGGTTCTGGCCACTTAATGCAACCTACATGACCTTAGGTAAATTCCTTCACTGCCCTGAGCCTATTTCCTCATCTATAAAAACATTGGATATTGACAGATATCTCAGGGCTGTGATTTTGCTAACAGCTATTTATTGAATGTCTCCTATATGTCATACACTGTCCCAGGAGCTGGAAAGATAAAGAACTGAGTTACTACTCAATGCCTCTTACGTAAGGCCTCTTAAGGCCTCTTTAAATTTTGGCAAAAATAGTGATGATAATAACTTATCAAATTCATACAATGTGCCAGACACTGTTCTAAATGCCTTATGTGTATCAATTCAACAGCCTTCTGGGGGCGTCTGGGTGGCTCATTTGGTTAAGTAAGTATCTCCCTTCTGCTCTGGTCATGATCCCGGGATTCTGGGATGGAGCCCCACATCAGGCTCCCTGATCAATGGCGAGTCTGCTTCTCCCTCTCCCTCTGCTCCTCCCCCAGCTTGTGCTTGCTCTCTTTCTCTGTCAGATAAATAAATAAAATATTTTTTAAAAAACAGCCTTGTGAAATCAGGGTTATTACTGTTCTCATGTGACAACTGAGAAAACCCTTTCAATAACCAACTTGCCCAAACAGCAGAATAAGCTTCCAAATTTTCAACCTAGCCTAACCAAATGATGAAACAACATTTAAACACGTGCCCCCTAATATATTGCACTAAAAGGATACACCACACTGGTGTATTATTCAAAAATGTTTGTCCTGAATCTAATCATGGTAAATAAATTCAAATTAAAGAACACTCTTCAAAACAACTGCCTTGAACTCTTCAAAAAAGGTCAGTGTTGTGAAATACATATATACAAGCTAGGCAATTGCCTAGCTTAAAGACTATTTAGGGACAAGAGAGCAAGAGAGGCAACTTTTCAAATGGTTCAGGAAGGGCGGGGGCGGGGGGGGGGGCGGGGGGGGGCTCAGCGGTTTAGCGCCCCCTTCAGCCCAGGGCCTAATCCTGGAGACCAAAGATCAAGTCCAAGTTGGGCTCCCTGCATGGTGCCTGCTTCTCCCTCTGCCTCTCTCTCTCTCTCTCTCTCTCTCTCTCTCTCTCTCTCTCTGTGTGTGTGTGTGTGTGTGTGTGTCGCGCGAAAAAATAAATTTTAAAAATCTTTAAAAAATAAAAAATAAAATAAATAAAAATCTTTAAAAAGGGGAGCGCCAGTGGCTCAGCGGTTTGGCCCCACCTTCAGCCCAGGCCTGATCCTGGAGACCTGGGATCAAGTCCCACGTCGGGCTCCCTGCATGGAGCCTGCTTCTCCCCCTGCCTGTGTCTCTGCCTCTCTCTCTCTCTCTCTCTCTCTGTGACTATCATAAAAAAAATCTTTAAAAAAACACAAATGGTTCAGGAAAAAAGAACAAATATATATTTGTGGACAAGAGAATGGCAAGGTAAATGTGATAATGTGTAAATCGTGATTCTGCGTGAAACATATACAAACATTCTTACTATCTTTGCTACTTTTCTGTAAGTTTGAAATTCTTTTAAAATAAAAAGTTTCGGGATCCCTGGGTGGCGCAGCAGTTTGGCGCCTGCCTTTGGCCCAGGGCGCGATCCTGGAGACCCGGGATCGAATCCCACGTCTGGCTCTCGGTGCATGGAGCCTGCTTCTCCCTCTGCCTGTGTCTCTGCCTCTCTCTCTCTCTCTCTCTGTGACTACCATAAATAAATTAAAAAATTAAAAAAAAAGTTACAAAAGTAATCCTTATACAGAAAGAAGTATAATTAATTACATTCAGCCTCCTATATTTTGTTCAATTATCCTTTTTCTTTTTTCTTAAGATTTTATTTACTTGAGAGAGAGAGCACAAGCAGGAGGAGGAGAGGGAGAGGGAGAAGGAGGAGAGAGAGAGGGAGAAGCAGACTCCCCACTGAGCAGGGGGCCTGAGGCCGGGCTCTATCCCAGGACCCTGAGATCAAGACCTGAGCCAAAGGCAGACGTTTAACCAACTGAGCCACCCACACACCCCTGCTTTTTGTTTTTTTTTTTTTTTAAATCTAATATCCAATTAGGGATTGTGCAAGTATTTAGTTATGTCTCTCTCTTTTCTTTTTTTTTTTTTTGAGGGGGGTGGTCAATGTTAGAAACGTTAGTTTATTTTAAAAAGATAATTGAAGGGTGCCTAGGTGGCTTAGTTGGTTAAGCGTCTGCCTTTGGCTCAGGTCATGATCTCAGGGTCCTGGGATGGAGCCCCGCCTCGGGCTCCCTGCTCAGTGGGAAGTCTGCTCCCTCCTCTTCCACTCCAATCCCCTACTGGTGCACACTCTCTCTCAAATTAATAAATAAAATCTCTAAAAAAATAAAAAATAAAAAATAAAAGCAGCAGGGATGCCTGGCTGGCTCAGTTGGAGACTCATATGACTCCTGATCTCAGGGTGTGAGTTCCAGTCCCACATTGGGCACAGAGATTACAAAAAAGAAGGAGGAGGAGGAGGAGGAGGAGGAGGAGGAGGAGGAGGAGGAGGAGAAGGAGAAGGAGAAGGAGAAGGAGAAGGAGAAGAAGAAGAAGAAGAAGAAGAAGAAGGAAATTAAATTAAAAACAGCAGCTTTAAAAGACATTATTAGGGAGTGCCTAGGTGGCTCAGTAGTTGAGCATCTGCCTTCTGCTCAGCTTGTGATCCTGGAGTCCTGGGATCAAGTCCTGCATCAGGCTCCCTGCAGGGAGCCTGCTTCTCCCTCTACCTGTGTCTCTGCCTCTCTCTGTGTATATCTCATGAATAAATAAATAAAATCTTAAAAAAAACACATTATTGAGACAATTGTTGAAATGTTTAATATGAACTCTATATTATAGTATTGTATCTATGGTAAATTCTTCAGTAAGTTAATGGTATTGTAATTATATAAGAGAATCTCCTTATTCAAAGAAATGAATGCTGAAATATTTAGAGATGTAGTGTCCTAATTTCTGCAACTAACTTGCAAGTGGTTCAGGAAAAAAGCTGTACATACACACACCTAAATATAAAGGTGGGGGAGAATAAGGTGAGAGAGAGAGAGAGACAGACAGACAGACAGACAGAAATAGATTGAGGGAAAGGCAAAATGTAACAAGTGAGTGAAGAATATATGGAAGTTTACAGAAACTATCTTGCAATTTTTTTAAAAGATTTTATTTATTTATTCATGATAGTCACACGGGGGGGGGGGGGCAGAGACACAGGCAGAGGAAGAAGCAGGCTCCATGCAGGGAGCCTGACGTGGGATTTGATTCCCGGGTCTCCAGGATCGCGCCCTGGGCCAAAGGCAGGCACTAAACCGCTGCGCCATCCAGGGATCCCTATCTTGCAATTCTTGAGGTTTAAAATTTTTCCAAATAGAAAGTGCAGAGTGAAGATTCCTACCCATGCCTCGTGTGCTGTATATGTGGGAAGTTTTCCACTTATCTGAAACCAGAGCTATTGTTTAAGTCACTATATGATGTTATTGTCAATATTGTCATTATTATAAACCTAGATCCAGTGCCTTCTACTGCCTTCATAGCTCTCAAAGCCATCCATTACCCCCTCCTCCACTCTCATCCCAACATCCCAATCTTTTTCCAGATTGCAGCAGCATCTGACATGGTCTTAGCTTCTAAGTCACCCCATCCATTCTCCATGTAATAGTCACCCCATCCATTCTCCATGTAATAGCCAGAATAACCTCCCCAAAGAGTAGCATTGTCACTCCGCTGCTTAAAAGCTTTCAATGGCTTTCCATTGTGCTTCTCTTGGCTTTCATGACCCTTCTAATTCCTGCTTGCCTTTGGACACACACACACACACACACACACACACACACACCAGCACATACACAACTTATTTTCCAGTCACACTGAACTTCTAGCAGTTTCTGGCACATTAACTGCTCAGTCTCTCTCAGCACTGGGTCTTAGCACCTGCTCATTCCTCCTCTAGAATACCATCTCAGGAGGTACTTGGTGGGGTCAGCTGGCTAAGTGCCTGACTCTTGACTTTGGCTCAGGTCATGATCTCAGGGTCCGGGGATTGAGTCCCAAGTTGGGCTATGCCCTCAGCATGGAGTCTCCTTATCCCTCTCCCTCTTCTCATCCCCTCACTTGTGCATGATCTCTCTCTCAAGGAAGTAAATAAATAAAATGTCTTTTAAAAAA